GGTGCTCACAGCTTCCCATCCATCCTGGACCACCGACACTGAGGGTGAAGGTTCAAGATGAAAATCTCAGAAGATCCATGAATGTGTCAGGATAGAGGCTAGAACAGAAGCAGTGAGGGCACTGGGGACCCTGGCTCTGTCCCTGTAGGACTCTGGATTAGTCATCTCAACTCCTCAATCTCCTTCACAAGTTTATTGGGAGAAGTAATTATATTAATGGATTTTAAAATTTAATACAGGTCTGGCATATATTCTCACTAAGCATCGTATGTCTCATTTATGAAGTAGGTTTGACGATAGCACCTACATCTCAAGAAAGTCCTACATGGTGAGCATGAAAGGGGGTGACACGTGAAATGATTGTTCCCCAGCGGCGGGCGCTGGGTATTTCAGCCGGTGTTAGAAATACCCTTGAGGAAATTCAGGAGTCCTCAAAGGTAAGGCTCTCTGACTTAACTCCAAGGATCGAGTCCTGCATGGGTTTTCCTATGCTTGCTGTTCAGACTCCCCAGCTTTTGTGGGGGAGTGGACTGAACCAGGTAACTAGCCTCCGTCCACCTGTGACGTTTTATCAGCCCTGAAATCCACCGACAAACAAAAGTACCTTGCTTGGCACTTTAAACAGGCTAACTTCATTAATCATCACAACCTTGACAGAACTAATGGTGGCCACTCACAGTATAGCTGGGCACTCCTCTGATACTTATAGATGTTAACCCATTTCGTACTCATAGTAATACTCATACGATCTCCATTTTACAGCTGAAGAAACTGAGGCACAGAGAGGAGGCTCAAGTTCATGCAGCTGGACTGTGGCAGATCTGGGCCTCCGACCCCAGCAGCCCAACTCCGGAGTCTGTGACCTTAACCCCTGCATGCACTGTCTCTCAACGGGGAGATTCCTTTTCTCCAGTTTGTGAATAAGAAAATTGAGCCCAAGGTCATATGATAGTGAGAGAAAGCAGTATAAGAACCCAGACTTTTCAGGAGTGGGGGAGGAGCCAGCGCCCAGGGCAAGGCTCCAGGGAGGAGGTGTCTAGGGGAAGCCTCAGGCACTGGGATCCGACCAGGTGGAGCTCCAGGTATGAGGTGCCTTTCTGTCATCACCACCCTCTGTCACATCTAGTGACACGCACTCTTGGGACAGCAACAGTAGTTCCAGCCCTCAGCCTGGGGAGTCCAAAGGAAGTTCCTGGGGATTGGGCATGCAGAACCAGAGGTGTCCCCAGCACTCAGCCCCGCCCTGCTCCTGCGGGCTCTGTCTTGGTCTGGCCCTATGAAGGAGCGTGGTCCAGCCCCATCTCCTTTGAGTCATCTGGGTTGCTCACAGGTCTAAGGAGCCACTGTATCCGAAAGTGGGGAGCAAAAACCACTGTCTTTGCCAGTTCTTGAAGTCCATGGAAACCAAAGGTCACTAATCCATGTCTCTAAATTCTGTATGTGCCGCTTTGGCAAATGCTATACAGATCCAACTGAACAGTACTGGTTTTCAAAGAGTTTATGAACCGCGTTCTCTTTGTAAGCAAGCCCACATTATAAGTGTTTTCTGAAAATAAAATAATATTTCACAACACAAAACAGACTTGAGAATCAAGAGTTTAAAATCACACCATGGATATTTTAATAATAGAAGAGCCCTACACCACTGTCCCCAAAATGTCCTCAAATCCCACCCATCCATGTTCCACCATGATGCAATTTCCCACAAACTGAGGGAACCCTCAGCCTGGCATCCCGAGCTCGTCACCAAGACCCAGGTCTCCTCTCAGCCTGTACGCCAGTGTCCCTGCCGCCATCCTTACAGATGACACAAGCCACTCTCCTCCATTTCCGTCACCAAGTGGTTCATGTCACTGCTGCAGGGATGTCCTGACTCAATTCCATTTCAGCCTCTCCTTCCAGTCACACCTCAAATCCATCTCGTCCATCAGGAAGCCCCTCCTTGCCCCTCCAAACAAAAATGATCTCAGCATCTTCCCAACAACCAGTCCCTGCGCTACACACACACAGACCTGTGCAGTATATATGAACACATGCATGATGGCTCAGACTGTGGCCTTTGGCAGTTAGCTAATTAGGCTGTAGACTCCTGAGGGGCAGTCAGCATGGAGTCCTTCCAAAGGACCCTTCACAACCTCTTCTCTGCCCAACAGGGTGCTTGCCACATGGACTCAATGAACATTTACTGAATTATTATTTTATTAGATAATAATGTTAGCAATAGTGATTCTTATGGAGTATCAACTACAGGCCAAAGGTGGTATTTATATATGAAATCTAATTTAATACTCAAAGTCCTGTAACTTAGGAAATTGAGACCAAAGGAGCTTATATAACTTGTCTAAAGTCACCTAGTAAGTTCGCTCCCAACTGTTAACATAGCAGCAGGACAGACTTTGGATCTGAATACTAATTTGTTAGATTCCCAAGTCAACACTATATAAAAGTGAAAGAGTAGAAAAAATATATTGCTTTTGATTTTTAGATAAATAAGTTTAGCAAGTCTGAAACAAATCTTAGCTTTGGAGGTGAGAAGAGATACTTCTCAAAATTAATCTAAAGTATTAAAAATGAGTCTTGAAGGTTAAAAACTATATATTATAAAGAACCTTTATCACTACAGCCCAAGAAATGTGAGAGATGGAGAAAGAGACTGTTTGAGGCCTGTACCGAGAAGAATGATTTAGGCGTAAACCAAATTTGCATATTGTAATAGAAAAGGGGAAGGCTTGAGAGTTTGGCAGAGCAGGTGACAATTCTGGGTATCACATGTTTAGCCCTGGTCTTTGGGCAAATGACTTAATCTTTCTAAGTCTCATTTTCCCAAATGACAGGTGGCAATAATAATAATTGCTTTCAGAGATAATGCAAACACTAGACAGGTAGAAAGTATGTAACTCGACAAACGATGGCTCCACTGCCATTACTATTAATAACAGTATTTTCATGCAGGTGACTGTGCCAAGCCAGTGAGAGGCATGGAGGTGCTTTCCCTGGTCCCAGCTGTCCGCATTGTCCACGGTACTCTCCCCAGGGCATAGACAGAGAGGCCAGCAGCACAACGAGCCTCCAAACCCAACCTTCCCTCCTCGGCACCTGACTCCCAGTGCGTTTTCTGGTACCTAAAGAAATAAAGTCAAACACTGAACCAAGCTGGCTCCTCCCTTGACACCTGCCCATCAGCCATCTCTGGTCTTCCTTGGGAAACAGAGGACAGGGTGGCACCCAGCACCAGTCTCATGGGTGCACAAACATCACGCCCTTGGTCTCTGCTTTCAGATGTTCTCGTTTATATCTGGTCTCAGAGTCCTCAGTGCTCACTGGAGGGGGTGTCTCTTGGGAGGGGTACTCTGAAAGGACATTGGTTTTGATGACACAGAGTCCGGCCCAGAACAGGCACCCAGTGATGACTGACTGGTTCCCCTCCCCCTTCTCAGTTCCTCTGAAGTGGCGAATAATCAAAATCTTTGGGCCAATACGTTAGCGTTTCTAACCGGCACCTGCCACCATGGATGGGTGGTTAGGATCTGAAAAGTCTCTCTCATTTAAATAAAACACAGAACAGCAATGAACCAGGGATGAGTTACAGACATTATTGATTATGGCGGCAACAAAACCAGTGTCCTGAAAATGGCAGGCTTTTTTCTTTAAAAAAAAAAAAAAAAGCCCTGAACTATTTAGTCTCCTGGAAAACCAACATCTGCAGGAACAGCCTCAAGGAAAACCAGTTTTTCCTCTTCCAGATTTTCAAGTGGAGGCAAGAGAACACAAACATGAAGCAGGATTTGGGGTCTCTGGCACGTGTAAGCGAATTACTATGAAAACAAAACATTCTCAGGTGTAGGTCTACCACTTCCACACCACTGTGCTAGAGCTGAGTGCAGCCAGCCGTCACCGTGCCCATGACAAAGTTACTGAGGTCAGCAGGAAGTTCCTTAGCTCATTCCTAGAATCCCATTATGTGTGAGGCATTTTTCATTATTTTGTAAATTATTAACTGATTTCCCCTAAAATCAAATAAAACACTAATATCCAGACCTAATAGATGTAACAGATGTTCCTAACATTCATTACTGCGACTTACAGAGTCAGCCACTGAAATAACACTTCCCTCTTCATTTTTAATTTCCTACTTGTTATCTGTTATCTGTGGAGGGAGGGCGGGAGGGAGGGGGGCAGTACCACAGGAAGGGAACCTCCAATACTTTAACAATATCACAGGAACCATAATGTTTTCTGAAGAAACACCACCAGTTCGCCCACCAATAACTCCGCTTCCTGTTCACATATGTAATTTAGTATATGGTCATTACCCTAATAAGTGCATAGGTATGTGCGTGCATGTGTGTCCCTGTAGACACACACGAACCCGAAGGGCGTCTCAGAGAGGCTGCTGCAGGAAGGGGCTCCGCTGCCCAGGGCGGGAGCAGCCCTAAATGAACGCTGGGTCCAGGCGCGGTCCGCTTCCAGCAAGCACACGCCGAGCCTCCCCATTCAGCGCTCGGTGCTCTCAGTGCCCTGGTCAGCTGGGTCCCACTGGCACTTTCATTGACCGGGCAGGGGTGGTGAATCAGAAACAGGCATCCCCACTGGGGAAATGGGAGTCCCCTCCACACCCCAGCAATAGATTCCCCTGTCCCTGTCGCTGGGGCTCACCTTCCCGTGGCAAGCTGGGAGCAAGGCCACCGGGCAGATGAAGGCGAGATGAACCCCAAGGCTCACCCCTCCCCAGGCCCGACCCCCACCCCCAGTCCCTCCAACAGCCCCCTCCCCGGCCCTCCCCCGCTCCGTCACCCGACACTGCGGCCGCCGCAGGGGTGCGGACTGGTGCGTGGGAGAGGCGGCTGGGGGCTTCCTCCGCACCCACCCTGACGCGCCCTGGATGTCCTCTGGGGAAGGGGATGCCCGCAGCCCGGAGGCACTGAGGAGGCAAAGGCTGCGGCGCCCGCCCGCGAGAGGGGCCTCCACCCCGAAGGAAGGGAGTGGGGCGCCGGGCTTACCACGAGCGCGGGGACCCCGGCGGCCAGCGAGTAGAGGAGCGCGGGCGGCACGGCGCTGCTGTCCTCCGGGCCCGGGTAGGGCTTGCGGTAGGCGCTGTCGTGGCAGAAGAAGCCCTGCACGTTCACCGCGAACGTGTCCGTGTACTCGAAGTAGTACGCCAGCATCACGGTCCCTGCCATGATCACCATCTGGAAATAGAGCATGCTGCTGGGGAGCGCGCGGCCAGCGGGGGCAGGCAGCTCCCGGTCGCCGAGGCAGCCGCCGGCGCTGGCGGGCGCGGGCGCCGAGGAGGAGGCGCAGCGGCGCTGGGCGGCGAGGCGCGGCGGGCGGCGGCTACCCCCGGACGGGCCCCCGCTCCCCTCCCCGCCCCCTGCCCTCCGCAAGCACCGCCCGCCGGGGCGCGGGGTCGCGCGGGAGGGCGGGGAGTCCCGGGCGCGGGAGCATCCGCGGTGCGGCGGCCCCGGCCAAGCCCCCAGGCCCCGGCGGAGGAGGCGGCGTCGGCGGAGCTGCACCTGCACCCCTCGGAGGGCGCACGCGGCGGAGCGGGAGAAGCTCCTCGCGGGGTAACACCCAGAACGGGTTGGGGGTGGGGAGGCAGCAGAGAGGGGCCGCTAGAAACTCCCTTCCGAGGCAGCAGCGGGGCGGTTTAGGAAACCCGCACCACGCCGGGGAAAGCGGTGCGTGCACGCGTCTTCGGAGCGCCAACGCCACCGAAGCGCCAAGTGGCGGCGGCCGCGCGGCGACTTGCTGCCGGCGCCCCCTTGGCTGGCTTCGCCCAGCGCAGGACACACGCCCTGCGCTGGTTTCCGGGCGCAGTTGGGAAAATCATCTCAGAGGGCTGGCGATTCCGAGTCGCTGCCTGCCCTCCAGCTCCCCGGCATTGCGTGTAAAAGCACAGAGATCCTGGCTGCTGGTCTCCCGTACAACGGCCCCTTCCTCGGTCCTGGATTCTCCTGCTCATCTTCCGTCTCCCATTATTAGCTGCTTGTGATACATGTCATTGCAGATTCCAGGGACCCGGCGGGGGCAGCCACCAGGCGAGAAAGGACTGTTTGCCTCCTCTAGCTGTTCCCTGAGTTCCCCGGAACAGCAGATTCCCCAAGGACCAGGCGACAGGCGGGCACACACGACATGCACACGGAACATGTCTACAGAACGCACCCTGCACGGGTAGACACGCCTGTGCTTGGGCAGGGAAGTCGCTGTGGAACCGCACGGGTGTGCAGAGCTGGCTTCTTGAGGCCATGTGGGTCCCTGTGTTGCGTGACAAGTTTAAACAGCAGACTTGGGGGGGGGTGTCCCAGAGCCTGACACTGCCCCCCCCCCCCCCACACACACACACACACTCCAGAGAGCAGGTAAGGAAGCATGTGTTGGAGGCAAGGGAATGAAAATATTCCTAGAGAATTGCCTTTCTTAAAACATAGAATTGCCTCTCAGGTTTCTGTAATGTTCGTTCATTTTAAGGGGTTATTGCTCGATGATTTGGGAAGGTGGGCCTTTGTCGTCAGGAAAAAGCAACACTGTTAGCCAAAGAGGCTGTTTATATTTGGCAAATGATTGGTAGTCGGGGGATAGTGTTCTAATGGCATGTGAATATCTTCAGTGTTCTATACCTTACCCTCCACATTTTTACAACCTCATTTAATAACTAGTGACTAAGTTCTTATCAGGTAGGTCACCAAACACCAACAACAGGTGTGCTAAGCAGTTTGGGGCAGTGGGAGTAAACGTTCTGAAGTGGACCAGAGTGGCTTACTGTGTTGTGGTGATATTATGCCATATAGATGGTGTGCCTACTACAAAGATACATGGTCTGTTGCTCCATTCAGAAAATCATTCTAAGTCTGTTTAAACTACTCCTCTGGTTTTAAATAGGACTCCCCCAAACCTTCCTACTTAGTGAAATATTTGGAAGCATGGTGTTAATTTTTAAATATAGTTCTTAAGGATACCTTTGGATTAAGGCGAGTCTAATGTAGGTAATGTATTCAAACTAATAAAAACATGCATAATTTTCTAAAATTAAATGCATTGCAATTGTTAGTGTGTGTTGAGTGACTAGCGGGGCCCGTCTCCAGTTCACTGCTCTGCACACTGGGAGCACTGGGTCCTTATTCACTACTACACACTATAGTATCGAATAGGATCTGTTGAATAAAGCAATGAACTTACTCCTCTAAGAACAACAGGGAAGTGTTTTCACACATAACATTTATGTCAAGGGTTAGGGAATCACAGTCTTTAGGTCCCCAGATAAACAGTTCACATACTCACACGGCACACTGACATTGAAGGTTCAAGGTCAATGTAAGAGAAGCAGCTCTGGTGCTGCCTCCATTCACATCCCAGCCCTGCCACTTGCCGGCTCTGCACACCTGGGCGAGATGCTTAACCTCCCCCTGCTTCAGTTCCATCACCTTAGCAAGGCTGATAGGAGATCCATCACACTCAATTAACTATGCCTAGCACATCACGAACACCTTTACTGTATTTCAATTCCATGATGTTTAAGTTCTAGACATAAATGTATCTATCTACCTGCCATAACCTAGGTCGGTCAAGCATCCATCACCAAACACTTCCTTCTCATTTTCTTGCTCACAAGGTGACTGTAGGTATGTTCGTGTTTTCATAAGCATATACATTTTTCTATAGATTTGTGCACATTTTGTCTCCTCTTTCAGATGCTATCCAACACAGGAATAAGATACTATTTTCCCACAGAATTCTCAATATCCACATCACTTGTTCACATTAGGTGGCCAAATAGGGTTAACTGATTCAGGGTTGACCAACGATTTATTGCTGAAATGGAAGCTAGTACTGAATCTCAGCTCACGTCATAAAGACACCAACATGGAATGAAGCTTCCCTGAATATTTTAGCAGACTGGTTATTCCCAGAAATGGGGTGAGGTGGATGGAAGAGCGGGAGTATGTTTGTGCTCTTGGGCTGGTCTCTTTACTTTCTGAGCCTGCGCTTCTTTGGAGACAAAATGAACCATTTTTTCTTATGTCTGGGCTTATTTGTACAATTAAATGAAAATATGTAAAGTGCCTGGCATAAAGAAGGTATTTATTAATGTTTCTTCATTTTCTTTTTTTTTTATCCTCACCTGAGGGTATGCTTTTTTTAAAATTGATTTGATAGAGAGAGAAATATAAATGTGAGCCAGGCTGGTGTGGCTCAGTGGTTGAGCATCGACCCATGCACCAAGAGGCCGTGGGTTCGATTCTCCATCAGGGCACAAGCCCAGGTTGTGGGCCAGATCCCCAGTGGGGGATATGCAGGAGGCAGCCAATCAATGTTCTCTCTCATCATTCTCTCTCTCTCTCTCTCTCTCTCTCTCTCTCTCTCTCTCTCTCTCTTCCTCTCTCTCTCAAGTCAATAAAGAAAAAAAAGAAAGAAAGAAACATAAATGTGAGAGAGAAACATCAATCAGTTGCCTCCCATACATGTACCGACTGGGGTTGAACTTGATACCCAGGTATGCATCCTGACCAGGAATCGAACCTGCAACATTTTGGTGTACGGGACAACACTGCAAGCAACAGACCCACCCAGCCAGGGCTGACCTCTCATTATTGGCATCATAGCCTACTACTTTGTCACAGAATGATCTTCAGTAGTTGATGTAGAAGGTAGCTATTTTCTCAAGAAAACAGGAAGAAAAACAGCTAGTATAGTAATTTGTATGTCTGTCTGTGAGGTTCCGCTATAATGGGATGTTTACCTCAAAGGTCAGATGCTTCTGACCTGGACAAGTGGTACTTAACTTCAGCCAGAACAGTTATCAGAAACAGCTATCACATAGCACCTGTTTTATTAGAGAACGTAGTTTTTAGTTCCCTGAAGGTAGGGGCATGACATTGCTGGGTGAAGTAAAAGAGCCCAAGTTTATAACATACTAAGGTTGAGAAAGAATAGAACAATTTAGTATGTTATCAATTGAACACTCCTATATTAAAATAAAAATTTTAATTATTAATTAGCAAAAGTTAATTGGAACATGCTGATAATACCTAGCCTTTTTGACTCTCAGTTTGCTCACCTGTGAAATTGGGTCAGTAAATATTTACAAAGACATTGAAAGGCTTACCTTTATAAAATGCTTCCTAAACCTTAAACACAAGCTGCATTAGACATGTTAGAATCAGGAGGAGGGAGTCCCTGGTCTGAGAGCGTCCTGGATTCTCTCCCCAGCACTGGGAGCCAGCTCCAGAAGCTCAGATTGATTGCTGCCTGGCCTGTTTTCCATATGTTTCAGTCATAAAAAAAAACAAAACACATTTTAAAGAGGTATAAACCCATGGATCTATAACATCAAGGGACGTTTCAAATTATACACCTTCCCTAAGAACAAACAATTAGGAAGGAAAAGGATGTAGGACTGTGTCAGTGCAGATGATGGTTAAATCCAAGGACTGGATCTCAGCGGAACTGAGTTCATATTCTGCTCTGTAGCTTCATAATTATGGGATCTTGGCCAACTCATTGTGATTCCTCAGTCCCTGCCGTATCCTAAAATGAGGATAATGTTGCCTATTTCACCGCAATGTAGTGCAGAGCCTCAGCCATTCGCAGTAAATGACAGCTATAGTGACTGTTACTCTTCACCTCCTAGTATATTCATCTGGATTGGCAACACTTTCCTTGATGCATTTGGAAATGCGCGTGTGTAAATCCTGCTGAACTGTCTGTAACTTCATGGTACCTGAAGACACCTGAAAGTCATCACCTGTGCTATGATCAATGAGGACCACCCTAAAAAACCACCGATCCTGCCAACACTGGGGAACAGTTTCTCTAGCAGTCGTGTGCAACTCGTGGGCAAACAGTGCTGATGGCCGCAAGCCCTTCGTCAGCAGTACAGATGTGACTGCCAATCAGCACTGGTTTGTTCGTCCTTCAGTGAACAAAGTGCTGGTTGAAACAGGTAGAGCAGAAACTAGACACTCAAAATGGGTCCTCATGGCCATAGGTGGGCCATGATCCACTATCAGGTTGGAATCAGACAATTTTCAAAATGCAAATTTTTAGTGAAGGCTTGATTTTCCTGCCCTACATTTCATACTACTTAAATTACTAAATTACTGGACTTTTTTCCCCTTACGAGTTCACAACTATAAGCAAGGAAAATAATTTTTGGTTAAGGAAAGAAGATAATGTCTTAATTGCTGAGGTGGAAAATTCTAAGCAGTGGAACATG